TCGAATATCTTCTGGAGTAATAGAGCAATAGAGAGATAGTGCAGTCATAAAAAGGGGAAATGGTCAGCCCAAAGTGCCTGAAGAACCTGGCTACCATTGGCCCTCGTGACGTTTGTTAGGTCACCGCCAAACTTGAATCTGTGGAATCTCTACTTTTACACTCATTTACTTGTTTCTTTTTTTCTATTATATTAGACTTATTAACCAGTTAACAGAACTCCGCATTTCAGACCCCGGATGGATGGCTTGCTTCCCCAATGCACAGGCCTGCCATGTCGGTGTTGGGCGACCCCACAATAGCTCAGTGCCAGCATGGGCGCAAACACCCCCAAGAACACCCTTTATCCCAACCCTCACCTCCACGGTCGCTCCGAAAAACAATCTCCATCCCAGCTGTATCGTCACTCGTGAAGGATTCGTGGAATTGGGCCGGTGACACTCTGTATACCTACCGTGATGGTCTCTCCAAGGAAGAACGGAAACAAAGGGCGGACATCGAGGACCGCAAACAAGTCCTATATATGAAAATAAAGAATGTAAGCACATGCAGTGTACCTGAAGCATGCGATCGCATCTGCAGAGTTACCCTTTCTAATCGTTAGCCTGCATGCAGGCTGTGTCGTACGAGGAATGGCGAAGTTGCGCCAGTGAACTGGATGAACTAGAGGACAACAATGCCTGGAAGCAGACTTTCGAGTGCACCGAATACGATCCTTGCTTAGTACAGGATCGCTTGCGACAGTTGGAAGATGCTCGTATCAGCTGTGATGTGAGCCGGATGCTGTTCTTGGTGCGCACTGCGCTGAGTCGGGACCTGGCCCGCATGAGCAATGCCTCCCTCTATCGCCATTCGCATATCGGCACCAAGGATTTGATTGACAGGTATATTACTACGGCTCTGGAGACCATCGCCACCCTGGTGGACCTGTCGGTGCATGATCGCTGCGATGGGCTCGAGCTGAAGTACATCCTGGACCAGCTGCTGGCAGCTCGACAGGCATTTGGTCGCAGTGCGCTCCTCTTCTCTGGTGGTGCCACTTTCGGAATGACCCATATCGGAGTTCTCAAGGCCCTCTATGAGGCAAACATGATCCCTCGAATTATCTCAGGTGCATCTGCTGGTAGCATTGTGTGCGCGGTTTTTTGCACGCGCACCGACGACGAGCTGCCGGCGCTTTTGGATACTTACGTACATGGGGATTTTGACGTCTTCAATGAGAAGGGCCAAGAGGAAAATATCCTACAGAAGATGGCTCGTTTTTTGAAGTTTGGATCGTTTCTTGATATATCCCACTTGGCAAAGACTATCAGGAACTGGCTGGGAGATATGACATTCCAGGAAGCATATAACCGCACCCGCAGAATCCTGAACATCTGTGTGTCGAGTGCTGGCATGTATGAGCTTCCACGGCTGTTAAATTATATCTCCGCGCCGAATGTCTTGATATGGTCTGCTGTGTAAGTTCCCTTTTTCATACTTTCAACACATTCCTAACGTCTCTCAAAGGGCGGTATCATGCTCTGTTCCCTTTGTCTTCAGGCCATTCACGTTGATGGCTAAAGATCCGTTGACAGGGGAACCGGTCCCGTGGAACGATCTTCACAAGCAGTATATTGATGGCTCCGTTGATGGAGATCTGCCCATGACACGGTTATCGGAGATGTTTAACGTGAATCACTTCATTGTGTCCCAGGTGAACCCCCATGTGGTGCCATTCCTTCCGAAGGAAACAGGCCCACAGAATGAGACTAACGACGGCCCTTCGTTCATACCTCGATGGATGAACACGATGACACATCTTGCCAAAGACGAGGTTCTGCACCGGATGAACGTCCTCTCGGAACTTGGAGTCTTTCCAACATCAATGACCAAGTTTGCCTCCATTGTGAACCAGAAATATCATGGAGACATCAATATATACCCGGAGCTCATTTCCTCCAACTTCCCACGGCTCCTGGAGAACCCGACAACCGAGTTCATGCTTTCAGCATGCCTGAGTGGCGAGCGAGCGACATGGCCAAGACTAAGCCGTATTCGAAACCACTGTGCGATTGAGCTGGCACTCGATAATGGCATTCAAATTATGCGGGCCCGGGTAGCCTTCAGTCCGAGCCAGTTTGATCTACGTATGCCAGCCCGTAGCCGTCACTCGATTGACTCGGCAGACAATAGTGGAAGGGGACGTTATCGCGACAGACGAAGAGGATCCCACAGCCCTGAGTTGGAAAAGAGGCACTCGGGCGGGCAAGCACGGCATCAGCCAGCGCGGGAACTGAGAAAGGCACGAAGCACTGTTTCATTAGAGAATCCTCCTGTCTCGCGGTCGACTGAGTCAACCCTCATGTCAAGCCAAGCAAGGACCCACCGCCGTACATCCTCAGTATCCTTCACCAACGGAGCGATATTCGACATTGGATCCAGCAGCGACGAAGGGCTTGAAGGATCATACACGCTTCGTCCCAAACTAGCAGGACACCGAGCGTCTTCAGACTCATCCTCAATTGGTGGAGCACATAGGAGCCACGAACCACGTAGCCCCATCCGGTCCCGACGATCCTCATTCTCTTCTGGCGCGGCCTATACCCCTTCCGTTACAGCTCGTCGCAGTTCCCCAAAGCAGGCTTATGCGCCGTCGGGTCGCGATTTCTCCATGACCGTACCACCTTCGTCTCGCCATCTGCTCAGCATGACCCCAACACCAACAATCTATCCGAGCTTGCCTGACTCACTGACGCGGAAACAGCGGCACTAAAGAATATGCGATTAATTGTGCATCGTCTCCCGTCCTTGCTCCTTCAGGAGGCATGCAAAATCCTGATTCCTTGACACATACAAGCTCGCCCGAAAAATAGGTTTATAGAACTAATTTCGTGGTCCCGCACAACACACTCCGTACGATGTAGGACACTCGGACAGGTTTTTGATACTTATCGATTCTGTGATTTTGTACACCTGCCGCCGAAGCGTCCATGACATCTCTCTGGCTCGGTTATATTCCGTCTCTTCTATTGCTGTCTGCGGATTGCTGGCGTCATGAAGGGGTGTTTGACATTCTCATACTAGACCACCTTTTGGCTGTTACTCCTTGGGTTTCGGTTTTCGGCATATCGAATCTGCTGGATTAGCAGGTTTTTCTTTCGTTCCCGTTTAGTTTTTGCTATCTACAACACATGGCATGCATGTGGCGGTTTTCTGTATATAGCGGGGAAAGTTTCCACGTACACGCCGTGGGGCATTGAATCCCCAGATGAAAGGGAGTTCGGGTTTAGGCTTTTAAGTGACTCGGCATATTTCAAGTTACTTAAGGATATATTGTTCTACTCCGTACTCCGTATCTACTCCGTACACCAAGGATTAATACGAGGCTCCACCGTCAGCGCTAATAGCCCTGAAGCTAAGCTGTTTCCCAGCGCAAGTCCCGAGAAGTTGCTGAGTGAGCTTAATAGCCATAAAAGAATGCTTGGCGCCGTTGTACAGCCAACTAGAAAGAAGCTTGTGGAGGTCGGAGGCAAATCGATATCAGGAAAGAATCGGCAGTCACCATTGGGGTTATGGATACACGCGTTTTCTGTGTCCATGCAATCAATGGACATGCACGGAGTACGGAGTACAATAATATATGTCAAAACTAAACACAAAACAGGCACATGTTTTACCGTGATGCCTATATTGTATACGGAGTATTGCAAGTGTTTTAAGGGAAAAGTGGAAGAGTCCAATTCCCGTCGACTATGTCACGGGGTTCCACTGTGGGCCAGACCTCGATTCACAAGGGGCTGACGACGACTCGGCCATGTTCCAGGCATGTTCCAGGTCATCTCCAGGACTGCGACCTGTATCTCACGTTCTCGAACTTCTATACCAGAAACAGGCGATGCTCTCCATGTTTCAGTGGGACACATCACAGTTCAATCTTGAAGAATTTTCTCATTGAGTCGGGTTGACCGCGTCTCCATTGCTGATCCAAAACCAGCCTAAATACCTCCCGACTCAGAAATTGGAACAAGAGTGTTCCACCTCGCCGATCAGTCGGTAACCATTGGTCCTCACTTATCAATCAGTGGCTCTGCCAGGCTTTTTCTGCCCTTCGAGTCCACCCTCGTCCGTGGACAACCAGCACATCCTGACACAGGGTGTGTAATCCGCATCAGCCTTCCTGGCACGCACGATGTGGCAAAATCCATACACGTGAAACGAGTGGCCAGCCATTCTGTTACAGGCAAAGTGTGATGACGGCGGAAAAAGGAGGAATGAGCATATCATGTCGGAGATGAGGTCGTGCGGCCTCAAAAAAGGGGCAACTTGCAACAGTTGCTCTAAAGCCGAGTGAGAACAACATCTCGGCCGTACCACGATCTGAGCCTATCAGGTACGAACGAGCCGAAGGGAAGCATTTGATACGGTCAGACCATCCCGACAATCATCGATTTGCTTTTGGTGCTATTCTGCACGCGGAAGATGATCGTCGCACTATTGTTTGGTACCTGGCTGTGGCGTCTGTAGCCCAACCGTGCCGTCGATAGTTGCCTTGTCGAAACGTACCGGGACCACTTTTTGCCTTTTTTGACGCGTTGGCTGGCCAGCGAAGGCTTCATGGAAAATAACTCAGCCCCAGACCATGTGCTTCTGCCCATCCACGGGTGGTTCGTACCTGGTCCCTGACGACCCGAAGGTCCCCCAAGTTGAGATCGACACACTCGTCTCTACCGCTGTAAGGTATCGTAGTCCGGCCAGCCCACCTTCCGGCTAGCCCAGTGTCTGAGGAGGCAACAATTCTGAAGTCATGGTGCGATCCCGGAATCCACTTCGGCCTTGGACCTCACAGATCAACAAGGTTGATAAATCGGCAACCTTATAAACCCGCCCTACGCCCCCCGTAATTTTTCCCTAAACTATAAAATCTGTCTTTGATATACCATCCATATATCCAAGTCTGCTTTTCACCCAAATTTCTCCGTTCTTTACTTCGATATCTTACAATTAATCCATACCAACCACAATGAAGTTCACCGCCATCGCTGCTATGGGAATGATGGGCTGTGCCCTCGCCCTGCCCCAGGGCCCTCCTCCGTTCGTCACCGACCTGCCTCAGGGTCCCCCTCCTCACGCCGGCGAGCATGGTCCTCCTCCTTTCGCTGGTCCCCACGGCCACGCCCCCAGCGGCACTCCCTGCGGCTTCCCCAGCGGCTTCCCCAGTGGCTTCCCCAGTGGCTTCCCCAGTGGCTTCCCCAGTGGCTTCCCCAGCGGCTTCCCCAGCGGCTTCCCCGCGCCCACCGGTGTCCCCTTCGGCAAGCGCCAGTGGGGACTGGGACTCGGTCACGAGGGCCCTCCCCCTCACGGACCTCCCAGCAGCGTCCCAACTCCCAGCGGCCCTCCTAGCAGCCTGCCGACTCCCACCCCCTCCGGTGTCGCCAGCGGTTTCGACTTCTCGAAGCGCGACTTCCCCACCGACCTCCCCTTCTCCATCCCTCCCGGTCTCCTGACTGCCTTCCCCACTGGTTTCCCCACCAACCTGCCCTTCCCCTCGCCCGCCCCCCAGTAAATACTGAGCGGGCTGAGTGGCTGAGCGGCTGAGCGGCTCCTTGCCATCACTGGATCTAGTCTTGGGCCTGTGATATGAATTGATGTTGATGTCGCACGCAAGACAGCCTCCGCGCTTTGTACATATTGTACAGTGGAGGTGAGGGTTTGATGTATTGGGATTGATTGACTCAAGTGCCCAGTACTGTATATTATACAGGATATATGGGCTACGGGCTACGGGCCATGGGATATATTGGATTGGAATGTTTTTCTTTTGTTAGATTCGGGTCTGCGAGACGATTTATTATCTATGAATTACACGCAGGCTCTTTTGTCGGTTTCGACTTTTGAATTTATTCTTCCATATTGGAATACACACTCATTTGAACCACAGGTATTAGTGTGCAGAACATGATTATCGTATCTGTAGATCGCCTTTCGGTTGCGAAAACACTGGTTGCTAAGTGACCAGAGGATTTAATCACAAAACTCATTCCCTATCAGAGGACGATGAGCGTATCGCTTTGGGCTAGTTTGCACCAAACGTACGGAGTACACTGTACGCGACAGCCTTTATTGATTTGACAGGGACCTTTCTGCTGTACGCACCTTCACTATTATTTCCTACGCATTTTGTTTCCTTAAAATTGACGTCAACTCCATGTACTACATGCCCTTCGGCGTTAGCCCGGGAGTCTACCTGGAATTAGCTAACGCCCAAGGGCATTATCTCATTTTTGCTCTTTTGATGTAGGCCTGGTCTGTCGTTCGTTCCCGGTCTCAACCATTATTTGTTTATTTATTTCTTTTTGTCCTCCCTGACTTCTCACGGTGAATATTCTGATTGTCCCGAGCCTAAGAAGAAACTTGATGGAGTTATCCATGGATGACATCTGGGATTAGGGTTAAAGTGGGGCACGCGGGTTCCTGCATACGAAATGCAAGAGCCTCAAAGTGACCTAACACAGGGTGGGACATACATAGATCAAATTTCATTCTTGTAGATCACTATAGTATTCTGTTAACTCTCTGGTTGCCAGTGACCTGAAGAACTCTTCACTTCTATTATGACCAGGCTCGTCTTGAAACTCCACATGCACAATAAGGAACACCCCGAATATAGTCTCCTAAAGAATCCACCCATCTCCGTTCCAGAGATGATTTGCAGAAAACTCCTAGACCCAAGTGTACATGTGATCACCATGTTCTTCAAATGCCCCGGAGGTAGATTGCCCAAGATTGCCCGTCCAGATATCGTCAACACGCTATAGCCTCTCCACGCACCATGGTCACTGCGAGCATCATGCATTGCATCCCCAGAGTTCGACGGGTATAGTTGGACAGCTAGAGCTCGGCAATAACCTAAGAGGCTGCGACCTCTTGTAGATGCCCCCCCTTGTCTTAGACAAATCGTCTCTGAGGCAATACCTTTCTCTTCGGTTATTGGCAGTCAATTCCATGGCGCATTCACGGAGTCAAGTTAAGCCAAGGGTTTTTGAGCGGCAGTGTACCTGTGAGGTGGAGGTTACGATGTTCCGTTGGACAGCGAAAAGGGATGATGTTACCTGCGTCTCGTCGGCGGGGCCGATTGTAATGTGAAGCTCGGCTAAGCAAGTCTCTAATAGAAGTCAGTGTCTCGCGAGACAAGCAGGTACGCTGGGCTGATATGTGTTCCAAACCAAGTATTCCTGCTTGCGTATTTGAGATACAGATAGTGACAAGCAGGGGCTTGTTCTCCAGGGCTCTAGGCATGTCCCGTATTGAGTAGTTGGTCGTATTGGAACCGCAATGAGCAATTCATGACTGAGTGCTCATTATCTTGATCCCCGCGCGTTCACTCAAAAACGCAGAGTATAAAAGTCCCTCCACTTGTTTGTTCTTCTCAGTTCTTTTCTTCTCTTCTACACATATTCTCTTAACCTTCTCGTCTAGCAAGACTCCCATCCCACGATAACGTCATATTCATCTCTCCCATATCTTTATCTTATTATCTCCACCATCCAATTATCCCCCAAAACTTATTATGGCCCCTTCAAATGAGCCCAAGGCCAAGGGCAAAAAGCTGGCCAAGGTGCCACGACTCAAGCTCACTCTCAAGGCCCCGGCCAAGGCCGCCCCAAAGGTCTCCGACGAGGTTTTCCTTTTGACGCTTCTCAAGGACGTCAAGGTTAGTCATCTGCTACTTAATACGTGTACTAAAGGCTGGATTGTATATTGTACTAACCAAGTTGTCTCACTACAGGTGGATCACGGAGCAGCCGCTGCTGCCCTCGGCATCAAGAAGCCCGCCAGCCGGATGCGCTTTATCCGGCTACAACAGAAGTACGGGTTCAAGGCTGTAGGACACCGCCAGAAGAAGGAGGCGCCTGCCAATGACGCCGATGTCACCCAGGGCGAGGCCGGAGAGCAGGCTTCTGAGAACCGAGACGACTAGACGGCCGGATGGAGACTAGGAACACACTTTGATGATTCAGAGGGGGGGAGGAGGGGGAAATGGTATGCATCAATGAGACAGATTTCTCACTCATATATTGGAGTTCTCTTAATCGTAACTCACCTATGATTAGATCTAGATGTAATTTTATAGCGCTATAGTCCATTACCATCTGTATAGATCAATATACCTATATTATCATATACGTAGTGAACTAGAGCAATATAAAACTGATTTTAAGAGTCTACTGATTTCATTGTCTGGCCCTATAGTTAGATGTTTGTCTCTTAGATATGTCTGAGAAATCAGGTCTCCAATTGCTGTGTGTAGGCTGCTTCGTTTGCTTTTGAAAGAATTAATTAATTCTTTCGGTTATTGCATCGTGTACTTGCTTAGAAACTCACCATATAATCACATGCACACACCTCACTCTCTTGTTTCTATCATTATCATCATCATCATCATCATCATCATCATCATCATCATCATCGTTTATCATCGTTCACCATGAACACGCTAAACCTGCACATCATTGAGCATGGCTCTTGAGAACGTTAGTGGGCTCTCACTTTGCCCTTAGTGGCACCTTACTCTGTGTTTATTATCAGATATCGGCCTATACTAAATGTGGCTTTCTCTAAGGTTATAGTGATCATGAAACTTTCGAGAGCTTTCTGCATATTATCCGGTTACGCATATTCAATATGTCCCTACGTTTCTCCAAGCCACTATCTGTGCTAGCACCGTGATGTTATTCCGTGCCATCGTCAAATGATGCTGTCCAAAGCCAAAGTTCGAACACCCAGCCTCGAGCCTTATTCTCCCGCACAATTTATGAGGGCAGTTGTGCGGTTTGCTTCACCTCTTTGACCCTGATAGCCTTGCGAGGAATGCCTCCCCATATTCATTCTCGCCCAAGTCTCACTGGCTTCCCCCAAGGTTTTAGCTGTCGAGCACGCTCCAGCCCATCTTCTACAGTATGCTGTCCTTCTTGACCTTCCTTATCCCATCCTTCTTCCACCAGAAACCCCTCTAACGGGTGGCATCGTCCTGCACAACATCGAGTCCCAACAAGAATCTGCTTGGCCAGGAGTCGAATGTCTGGGGTTCGAGCCCCTGTTCCAACTTCAAGAGCCAAGCCAAAGCATTCATGTCGAGATCAAGGAAAGTGACTCGGAGGAAGAAGGCAGAGCCACTTAAGCTCCACTCATTATCCCATTCCATCTTCTCCTTCCACGAAGTCCAGTCCAGTCCCTCCTGCAGAAATTACACAGTATACATCCTACAGCATTGCGGCTCCTGTGACTCCTGGACGAACCTAACCGCAAGAAGACGGCCACAAAGGAGATGGTGGAAGACAATGGATCCCTACTGCTTTTCATTTCCGACACCTACGTGATGAATACAGCTTCGGAAGGGCCAGATGTGAGTGTGCCCGCTGTTTCGCAGCCAGCTCCATCTGTGCATGTTCTGAAGGAGCCAGCCCACCAACATCGTTAGAGAGAGTTTGTCGTTGACGAACATGGCTTCCAACGAGCCGTTGGCCAAGTGTTTGGACCAGTCAAGTAGAATAACGGCCCAATATCCTTACATCAGAGAACTCCCCTTTGCTTGGGGAATGTTTGCTCGAAGTCCCACAGATATGAAAATGCCAATATCCCTTTCCTATTTATACTTCACGGTAACAACATACAATCATCCTACGACACCACTGGGCTCATCATATTCCATCTCTATCACATCTCTATCTCATTTATCCCCATCATCCCATTATCCCCCACCATTTATTATGGCCCCCTCGATATTCCATCTTTACCATATCTTTATCTCATTACCACACCATCCCTTCATCCCCCAACATTTATTATGGCCCCTTCCACTGAGCCCAAGGCCAAGGGCAAGCAGCTGGCCAAGGCGCTCAAACTCAGCATCATGTGTGTAGGGCTGCGGATGGATGGGGCTTGGTAGGTTAATTTTGTTGCTCTGCTACCCGTAGGTAGCTGTGTTCTTATAACCTGCACTCGGTAAGTAGTCTAGCATTATACGAATACTCATTTGCTTGCCTCGAATGTATAATTCTTGCATCTACCTTGGAAATTTGGATAGGTTTTGAGTAGTTCTATGTCTACACATTCTTATATTGTCGGCGTTGAACGAAATTGGTCAATATACACATATATTCTATAGCAGAGTCAACATAGAATAAAAACGAGAAAAAGAGTCTTTTGATATGATGAATATCAGTCGTAAAATCGGAAACATATATACAAAGTCCAAGTAATAAAATCATCAAAACGCTAGTCTTTCGCACGAGTTCCTCCATTTCAGAAAGGAACAAAAATCGAAAACCACAAACCAACAATCCAAGGAGAAGAGCTGACCTTCTACCCTCTACTGAGGACGATAGAACTTGCTCGGAACCCAAGGCATACCAACAACAGTAGCCTTGCGGACCTTATTGCGGACCTTAACAGCAAGCTCGGTACCCTTGGTGTGCAGCCCTTGCTTAACATACGCCATAGCAATATTGGCACCACCAAGGGACGGACTGGGTAGACCGGAAGTGACAACGCCGACCTCAACGGGGTTCGCGGGGTCAGAGATATCGACGACGACAGCGCCTTCGCGAGCAGGGGGTCCCTTCTCAACGGATAGGCCGACGCGACGCTGGGGGATAGACTTCGGGCTGGCGAGCTGGGGAAGGATAACGGAAGCACCATTGAAGGTAGCAGTTGCAGGATCGCGACGGTCACGGCCGACGACCCAGCCGAGAGCCGCGGCAGGGGGAGTCTGCGCAGTGGAGATGTCGTGGCCGTAGAGACACATGCCTGCCTCAAGACGGAGGGAGTCACGGGCTGCCAGACCGGCGAGACGGGACTTGCTGCTGTCGGCAAGTAGGAGCTCGGTGACTTGTCGGGGTAGGGATGGGGCGCCGGAGGTCGGGATGGAGATCTCGAAGCCGTCTTCGCCGGTGTAGCCGGTGCGGGAGATGAGGAGGGGGTGTGCGGTTGCGCTGCCGTCGGGTAGGGTGAGGTACAGCTCGCGGCAGGTGCCGAAGTAGAGGGTGCTTAGGTCGGTTTCGGAGGCGGGGGTGTTTGCGGTGTGGATGAGGGGTTGGAGGACAGAGGCGGCGAGGGGTCCTTGCAGCGCGACCAGCGCGCGGTCGGCGAGGATCTCCCACTTCAGGCTGTCGGCGCCGTGCTTGGAGCGGTAGGCGTCGATCTCAGCGGTTAGGAAGGCCAGATCCTCTGTGCGACGGCCGGCGTTCGTGACGAAGTAGAAGGTGTCTTCGCCGCGACGGGTGATAACGCAGTCGTCGACCATGCCGCCGGTGCCTTCTTCAAGGAGGCAGGAGAGGGTGGAGGTATTTGGGGCTAGCTTGTCTACTGAGGAAGGGGTCACCTTCTTCAGTAGGTCAATGGCTCCGGGGCCGCTGAGTTGGTGCTGGACCCTGTGGATAGGGAACTCGGTTAGCCATTGCGGGTTTGCTTTGGCTCGGAGAAGGTTGACTTACATGTGGCTTACGTCGAAAAGACTGGCCTTCTCGCGAGTCCACATGTGGCTTTCCACATGGCTCAGATCGGCGTACTGCAAAGGCATATCGAACCCAGCAAAGGGCACCATCTTGGCACCATGCTCAACATGCAAGTCATACAGCTGCGTCTTGCTGAGGGGCTCGCTGGAGCTAGACGCATACCGCACAGCCTGGTTGGCAGCACGCGAAGCTACGGCTGCGACTGGAACATTGGTTCTCAATGACCGAAGGCCTGTTGGTCGCACGATAGCCGCGGAGGAGAGCTCCCGCCGAAGTACAGTGGAGCCGATAGAGGCGCGGGGAAGGTTGAGGGTGGCGGCCCTCGCGGCGGCGAGGTCAGCACCTCGTGTGAGAATACGGACACTTGACATAGTGAATCAATGCTGGAGGAATTGAATTAACGAACAGAAAAGAGAAAAAGAGAAATAAATGAACCGCGAGAAGTCACCAACCCGCCGTCGGGGAAGCATGACGGGAAAATCACGTGGTGATAGGCGATCGGGGAGTAGCTGATTTCCCGATTTGGACATTCTAGAGGACGCTGTTGGCGATGTAGATTTTATAGACTGACTATGTTACTGGACTGTTTTCTAACATAGGAACTACCGTGCATTGTATAATACTCGGTGAATTCCCATCTACATGTTCCATCAGTGGCAATTGCATTCCAGTACAACTCAGGTACATGGCTATATTGATTGGTAGACCAAAGGCCATCGGAGTATTGCCGCGGCGATGGCAAATCAAACCCGGAGAGCCAAATTGTAGCCTCCAAACCGATCGCCTGCATTGAATTAAAGATGGCAACCGCTGCAAATGATGCAGGGATAAAATATGCATATAGTGGGAGCAAGTCCCATAATCCGCCCTTTTCCAGCAGGGTATACAAAGCAATTGAAAGCCCGTGGAATCTGCATCTAGATAAACTACCTACCTAGGTAGGTATTGCGATACCCTAAAGACGCTCGAGCGGTAAAAGCCCAGGATTATCCACCACATTGCTTTCTCGGTCATCACAGTCATGAAGTCACTCGAGTCTACGACCCGGCATATCGGAAACGTGCACAAGAGATCCGAATGCGAAGACGATAAAAAAAGATGTAACAAACTCCCCGCCCTGCAGGGGGTCTACAGTGCGTTGCTAGCACATGTGAAAACGCCGCCGACAGTCCCTTCTTGGTAGCTGGTAACCACGGACATAACAGCAGCCTAGAAGGAACATGTATGTTAGCAAGAGAACGAGGAAGACAAGAACAAGGCAAGCCGAAGCACGCCGGACAAGGGACTCATCACTTACGTATGTTCCAGGTCCCAAGAAGAAGAAACCAACGAGGATTAAGAAGACATTAAAAATGAATCCGACCCAGCCGCGAATCCCACGGACCATAAAGAAACGAGGTCCGTGGTCCGCAGCACGCATACGGATATAAGCGGTACCCCAGAAAATGAAGCCGAAGAAGGAATCAAAGAGGGAGCTCATGATAGACAACAAGCCAGAGAAGAATGGAATGACCTCAGCAATGATAAAGGCGGCAAGCCAAAGTGCGGCAAGGATTCCACCCCAGGCAGCCCAGCCAACGACAGTGTTGTTGCCCTTGTGGCGGGTGCCCTCGAACAGACGGAAGAAGATGAAACGGGCTGAGACCGAGGCGTACAGCACGCCCAGGAAAATGATAGTCGGGATCATGAATGAGAACGAGACCTTCTTGAACATGTCGTCGCCGATGGAGCCGAAGGCCGGGGCAATCATGTACTGGTTGCCGACATAGACGTAGGTGACCGCGCCGACGACGCTGAACACGATGATCTCGGCGATTGTCACGGCTGTCACGGACTTCCAGAAGTCGCGGGGCTCTCTCATCTCGGCAATGAAACTGGGGAGGGTGATTTGGCCGATGAAGGTGTAGCTGATGTTCAAGAAGGCATTCATGCCCTTGACAAATGAGGTGCCCTTGGCCGGGATGACGAGCACAACGGGTTCTCCCAGTGCGGGCGTGTATCCTGCCGGGTGGTCTTCGACTGCAGAGAACACGGCAGCTAGAATGACGGAGATGAAGGTGAAGAATGCTGAGAGGGTTGCGACTTTGGACAGCGTGCTGAATGTTCGGGGCAGTGAGAAGATCCAGGAGATGATGGCGACGATGAATGAGAAGACGACTGTGCAGACTGCGCCATTGGACATCGTGTTCAAGTACTCGGCACCCACCACACAGTGCAGGCCCTGGATGAAAGTGTTGTTCAGGAGGAACATGACTGCTGTGGCCCACCACGCAATCTTGGAGTCCCAGAACAGATACTGACCGATGTCGCAAACGTCGCGGACTTCCGGGTGTCGCAGACAGAATCTCCTATACAAACATTAACACCGCGATTTGTCGCGGGCTTGCAGCCATTGCGCAGGATATCATACCAGGTGATCAGCGAAGTGTAGAGGACAATGCCGGCAATAACCACGGTCAAGATTAAACCGGGAACCAGACCCAGAATTGAGTATGACCAGGGAAAGGACATAATAGCCAGACAGATGTACTCAGAGAAGAGCAATGCAGCAGTCTGTAAAGAAAAGATCAGTCAATGGGGTCCCAACTTGCTTATCGGTTTCAAGCGCACCTTTTGCCAACTACACGTGCGATATTTGATTGTGTTGTCCGACTCCAGCTCAATCTGGCGACCAATGCTTTCCGTCGTAGACGATGAGTCGATGGCAGTGACATGATGCTGCGAGCTGCGGCGACCCTGCCCCTCAATGTCGAAGTCCTTCAGCTTGGGATCCTGCTCGGACTTATCGGAGAGCTCGGGGCTGTCGTGGTCCCGGTCATGGTCCCAGCTGACAGGATTCGGCGATTCATTTGGACCAGCCATTTTCGTATGTTAAAGAGCGGATGAACCGCGCTTGTTGTAACTCGGTGGAGTCGAGAGGAGAGTTGAAGATCTGCGGATGCATGTAATGCTCCTCGAG